CATGCCTTGATAACTAGTCAATGCTTCTGTGGCTTAACTAGCCTTTCTTTTTCACACAAACTAGCCTCTCCACTCTTCTTACCAGCGTGCTGGTCTTGTGCTTCTTCTTCCCTCTCCGGAGCTACTTGTCTTTGCTCCCGTTGACACTTTTGGAAGGTCTCCACCGATATGCCAATGAACATGTTCAAAAGGAAATAGCTCATCACCATGAAAGGGATGAAGTAAAGAAGCATCCACTCGTTGTAGTTCTGCACAGGCTGAAAAGGACACACAAGAGAGGACACATGATTGTATTTTTTAATGTGTGTGTGTGTGTGTGTGTGAGGAATAAAAAATAAGACAGATGTAAAACACTGCTGTCTCTCATGCACTTATTATTTCTCTGCGTAATTAGATGTGTGTGCAGCAGCCCTTCCAATACTGTGTCTCCATTAAAATCAGACTCAATTCATGTCGGAAGTGTTGTGAAAATGTTATAAGGTCCTCCTTAATTCGACTCTGACTTTAACAGTTGAGCAGCTCAGAGGACTTGTTCATGCTGATCAGAGAAACTGATAGAAATTTACATAGTTATTTAAGTGTTTGTAATTTAAAGTTCATTAACTACAGATCATGTTTATGTCATATTTTTTACTTTTTCAGATGGACCAGATGGTCAAAGGTTTTCATTTCACTTCTGTACCTTCAGAAAACTAATATGTGGATTGAGCTCTGTAACCCATCACAATGAACAACAGTATAAAAACCTACAATAGGCAGCAATAAAACAACAAAAATACCTGTTGGTCTACTCCTACAGCATCTAGCCCATCATACATGATGTTCACCCAGCCATCCTTGGTGAACATCACAAACACGGACAACACAGCCTGAGAGGGAAACAAGCAAACAAATAATTGTGATTTTCAAAGATGAAGTTCCTATTTGATAGTATTTTGGATTGATAATCTTTTTCCTTTCTCCCTACATTCTTTTCCTTTCGCATAACACAGGATAATAGTAAAAGACTGGTGTGTTGGCCCATACCTGAAGGAGGTTGTCGAAGTTGAGCTGCTTCCCTACCCAGCTGTAGTTGGCTGCCAGACAGTCAGTCTTGTTGGTGATGTTTCTTAGGTCATGGCCCACACAGTGGTAGAATTTCCCTTTGAACAACTACAGCATTTTTGTGAGATAAAAAGAGAGGAGACTGTCCATACTTGTATTTGCTATTGTTTTTTGAGTTTTTTTTGACACAGGTGGCGACAGAAACTTTTATCCGTTGTTGTTTTTACTCTGTGTGTGTGTGTGTGTGTGTGTCAGCTAACCTGCAGCCCAAAGATGCCATAGAAGAGGAAGATGATGCAGCAAATGAGAGTGATGTTCCCCAAGGGTTTAAATGAGGTCATCAGAGCTTCCATGGTCTGCTTTAGTTTTGGGACTCGGCTGAGTGCCCTGGAACATGCCAACATAACAAACAGACCTTTACTGGAGTCTGCACAATTCTGCAGACAAAAAAAATGACTGACTATTACATCTAAAAAGTAGTGGAATACTGCGTACACTCTGGGACCAGCCCACACAAACACAACAGAAACATCTGTTTACAAACAAATAAATGCTGTACCTCAGTAGGCGAAGTGTGCGCACCAGGCGGAAAACTGTGAGGACGGTCAGCATGTTGCTGTTGTCAGGTGTGAGCACTTCGATTAAGATGTGGATGAAAGATGTTATCACCAACACACCATCGATGACGTTCCACGCCGAGCGGCAGTAGCTTTCTCTCCCAATCAGCAAACCCAGAGCTACAACCTAGCGCAAAAAACAAACAAACAAACAATTCTTTATTACAATCTATTGTTTTATGGATACTTATAGCATTTTTGAAATCAGCTGAAAATCTGAGTGTCAAAATTGATTTTGAGGTAGAAATAATTGATCTAAAATTATAACAAAACTAAGTACATTATAACAAAGCTGAAGAATTAAAAAATTAAAAAAAAAAAAAAAGTAATGTTTACCTTCACAAACATCTCTACCAAGAAGACAGCGGAGAATATGTAAGTGGATATTTGAAGGATCCATCTTTCCTAAAGGACAGAGTAAGATTCAGTTTAAATCTGCATGTATTTTGGATTGGATGCAGTCAAACTCATATTGCATATTATTTGTTCATGAAATATATAACATCCAGCTTGACTGTGTGTGAATGTGCATTGGGCTTGTTCACATGACATGTCATATGATGAATCTGACAAAAGCAATAATAAATAACAATTCTATGAAAATTAACCAATGAAAATCAGGCATTGCTTTTGAACCATGGTGTAACAGAATTATTTAAAAAAATAAACTCATGAAACAAGCCTGGACAAAAATGATGGTA